CAGGTTGAGAACACTAGAATCAAACAGATGCAGAAATTTAAATATTTTGGAAGTGCCTTGACAGAGGATGGTAAGTGTGACACTGATATCTGTTGATGTATTAGAATAGCCAAGGACACATTCCAAAAGCTAGGCAGGCGGATTTCTTTGGTAATAAAGAAAAGAATACTGAGTTGTTATGTGACATCTGTCCTTCTTTATGGCAGCAAATGTTGGACAATTTCCTCAAAGATGAAGAAGAGACTCAAGGTGATGGAGATATAGGCTTATACTTAACATCAGGAAGAGGCAGCTGAAGTTTCTGGGACACATAATGAGAAAGAAGGACCTAGAGAATCTGATACTGACGGGTTGAATAGAGAGAAAGAGAGACAAGGATAAACAGCACATGACATACCTGGTGGGCTTAAGCAAGTGGATGACAGAGCATGGTCTGGAGGAGGAAGCAGAAGGAAGGAACTTGTTGAGAACTGCAAGGGATAGAAGGAGGTGGAGAGCCATGATCGCCTATGTCCTGAAAGGACATGGCCCATAAAAAGAAGAAAGAAAGGGAAGCATGGTGGAGTAATGGATAGTGGCTTGGATTCAAGAACTGGAGAGCCGAGTTCAAATTCCTGTTGAATCCATTACATTCACTTACGTGCTAATACCCTTGGGAAATGTATGAATCCTCTTCTTCTCCTCCCCCAGCTAAGGATAAACAGCAGGACAGACCAAGTTCTATAGCCTTGGATGGCAACTGGTCTACCACAGAAAGAAATGGCAACCTACTGTGAGAAAAAAATCTGCCTTGTCAGTCATGTATCAAAAGATACATGATCACCTAAGTGTGTATCACGCATGGCACATAACTGAGGTACTCGGATTCAACACAGAGACCTGAATCAAGTGCTTTGAGGTGGTAGTGCTTCCCTGAGTCAAGAGAGTAGCTGCTGGAAGACTATGTCTGGCAACAGGACTCTGCACCATACCATACAAGCAGGAGAATCTAGTCATGGCTGTCAGACAATTTCTGCGACCACATCATTCCTTACATCCTTGCCACCTAACTCCCCTGACTTCAACTCACTTGATTATTATGTGCAGGGTGCAGATGAGGAAGAGACCAACAAAAGTCCTTGTAATACCCAAGACGAACTGAAGGCAAGGATTATGGCAACAAGGAGATCATCTAGAAGAGATGAAGGGTATTTCAAAGTCATCAGGAGGCTGTAGTTGAAGCCAATGGCGATTTTATTGAATAAATTTACTCTTTAGTTTTTCAAGATATTTCTGTGTAATTTGTGTAAATATATCTGTTAAAATGAGATGTCAATGTTATTTTCATTTTTGTGCCATTTAGACGAAACTTTATCCATAGCACTGTGTGTGTGTGTGTGTGTGTGTGTGTGTATATATATATATATATATATATATATATATATATATATATATATATATATATATATATACACTAATAATAAATATATATTTTTTTCAACATTAACACATCTCTGATGTTCAGGCATGATGCAATTGTCAGGTACTGATTGAAAACTGTTGCTTAATTTAGATATTGATAGTTATTTGCTATGATAGTGGAGTAGTTCATTTATTTATGGAAAAAATTATGTACACATATATTCATCCAAATACAAGCATATAAATATAATTTAAATACAAATATATACACCATCTAATATACAGTTAGAAATATACACATACACACAAATATCATTACATATCCAGATACATAAGTATATACATCCACATTTATATAGATATACAAAGATACATACAAACATGATATTACAATTTCTATCTACATATTCATATATACACTATCATATACATTTGAAAATCTAAAAATGCACACATAAACATGCATCCATAGACATCTGTGCACATAATATATATATATATATATATATATATATATTAAAATAAGGAGGAACAGTAAGATTTATAATCCAGTGTTCTTAGCAATTATTTTTATTTTTAAAAAACTGCTTGATACAAACAGTAGAGTAAAATATAATTATTTTCTTTTTAAAAGTATGATTCCATTGCAACACAGAAAATTTCCATGTTTCAGAACTGAAACTAAATTTATTTAAACTCAAAATCCATAGTCTCATTCCATTGTTAAGCAATGATAGGAATAAATTTTCAAAGAAATTTATTTAGTTTATAAGCACAGACAATATTGATATTATGAGTTGTTATGGTTAAGGAAAATCTATTTTATTTTAGGCGGGGCTGGATTTTAATTTTCCTAGACAGCTTATGTATCCAATATATGTTACTTACAAAGTAAGGCTAAGTTTATTTAGGTGGGGTGGGGGTATTTGCTAACAAATGTATACTTGTGTTCTTCAGTGAGTCATCTGGGTTTCCAATGATAAAAAAAATTTTAGGCATTTTTATTGATCTGCTTAATTCATATTTTATACACAAAGACTTTCTAAAATAGTCATTTAAATATGTGCAAGACATTATTAATACTTAAATTTTACTAATTAAATTTTATTCTTATAGATTTAAAGTACCATACGACCTTTTAATAACTAATAGACTATACAGTATTTTTACAAATAAATACATTAGAATTTAATTACTAAGTAAAATCAAACATAAAAATGTATGTTTCATCTAGTCTTAATTATTTTATTTTTTTCAAAATTAATTATTACTTAAGGAAAATATTTGACAGTGCCTACAAAAAGTAGCTATTTCATTTCTTTGATTCAGTAAACATCACCTTTAGTGACATCATCACCTTTTTTTTTATCCTTTCACCCCCAAACAAGGTGATGAAGCCACTAAGATGCAAGGGGTTATTTTGAGTGAAAGAATCTGAGAAAAATCATTATTAAGATGAGAGGACAATAAAAGAACAGGATTCAAGAAGACAACAACAATTCACATTGCATTTAAAGTTTTGAAGGTCAAAGTTAACTGGTAAGCATGAAGCTGGAAGTGAGCTCCACAAGTGAGAAGTGCGAGAGAAGAAACTGTTAGCATAGAACTTATAAAAGTATTAGCTACAAATGTCTGAACTGGCAGCACTAAAGAATGGGATTTGTCTGAACCTTTAATTTGGAAATAGGGATAAGCTTGCAAAATTGCATCTGTGGGAAAGTGGCTTCAAACTGGCGAAAAAGCCTACCCCCACAAAGCTGCATAAATGATTTTGAACTTCTTTAGATTCTATAACACATACATACATACATAATGGGAAAGAGAGTTGTAGTGACAGAGTTACCAATATTGTAGCGGGTTGTCACCATTATGTAAGGGTGTGTACTACATACATTTAACTTTAGCTAGGAAAAGTGGGATTAAGGACAATGCGTGGATGCAATGCAATTTATATTTGACGTAAATAGCACATAGTATAAAATACAAAACTGAACGTAATGATTTCAAAACATAACAGTTGAATTAATTAGTGTTTGGTGTACAAGCATATAAGCTGAAGGTGTGATAGAGTTATGTCTCTTAGATTTGGAAATATTTGTACCTGAGCTCATAAAGAAGATGTAATTATTAAACTGTAGTTTAGAAGAATAAAGTTCCTTTAGCATGTTAGGAATTGGGGATTGGTAAAGTTGGTAAGAGTTCAGAAGAGATTTTAGAGTTCATATTTGCGTAAGATGGTAATATTCTTTAATGTTATTCTTTAATGTCTGACTGCATGGTCAAGATAGGAGTTCTTGAAGGTTACATCTTGGCAGCAAGGAGAAAGATGAATGAAAAGAAATGCGAGGGACCTTACACGTGTTTTGTTTATATATGGCTGTGTATCATGTGGGAGGCTCAGATCGAAAACGTGGGAAAACAGAGTTGTCATGTGCAGGCGGTTTGATTGGTCAGAACTGACCAATCAGTGAGCTAGTTTTGAGTAGATTGACCAATGAATGCTTGTTGCATGATTTCTATGTACTGTGTGTATGTAATGTGGTGGTGTGATTCTACAGAGTGATATCTAAGCATGTGTGTGTGTAATTTGTGAATAAGTGCCTGTGGATAACAAAACATACAAACTAAATAATAAATGAGTGCTGCAGGTGATGATAATGACAGATTATTGACATTTTTGAAATTTTTTTCAGCATAAATAGTCAATTTGAGAATTTTCAGCAGAAGATGGTAACTAGGATCATTAGGGAAAGAGAAAGAGTAAGTAAGAATGGAAGGGTCAGAACAGAGAGCAAATGATTAAAAAGAAAGAAAGAAAAAAGAGAAAAAAGAAACAAAGTAAAAAGAAAAAAGAAAGAAAGGTAGAAAAAAGAAAGAACAGTAGAAAGAGAGAGCAGTAGAAAGAAAGAAAGGTAAAAAGAAAGAGCAAAAAGGTGAAAAGAAAGAAAAAGAAAAAAGAAAGGTAGAAGAATGATGAAAGAAAGAAAGAAAGAAAGGAGAAAGAAGAGAGCAAAAGAAAGGAGAGAGAAGAGAGCAAGAGAAAGGAGAGAGAAGAGAGCAAGAGAAAGGAGAGAGAAGAGAGCAAAAGAAAGGAGAGAGAAGAGAGCAAGAGAAAGGAGAGAGAAGAGAGCAAGAGAAAGGAGAGAGAAGAGAAAGGAGAGAGAAGAGAGCAAGAGAAAGGAGAGAGAAGAGAGCAAGAGAAAGGAGAGAGAAGAGAGCAAAAGAAAGGAGAGAGAAGAGAGCAATAGAAAGGAGAGAGAAGAGAGCAAGAGAAAGGAGAGAGAAGAGAGCAAGAGAAAGGAGAGAGAAGAGAGCAAGAGAAAGGAGAGAAAGAAGAGAACAAGCGAAAGGAAAGGACTTAATGTTGCCTCATATTGAAGACGAAAGAATTCAGTGTGAAAATAATATTTATAATAGAATAGAGCACCAGATTTGGTATTTTAATAAATGACTATATTTGCTGGCCTGTAAGACCTCCATTTCCTATCAACATTTAATATTATGGAGTTAGGCTACTCTCGAGTAATGGTAGTGTACAGCATCTGTGGAAACATTAGCCTTCCAGATATTTCAATATTGTCATGATTTACATTCATATCATAGTATTAGGGAATTAGTACAAGTACTGGTAGTTTATGGTATCTGGTGCATAGTCGAGTGGGTAAAACATTTAATTTCTGTCCATGAGGCCCAGGTTCAAATCTCACCCTGGTCAATTTGTCAGGAAGCTGACTTCTTGATATCAGTCTGGGGAGGTAACCCCATTTTGCAGCACCATTGGACACTGTCTGAAATCTACAGCATGGGTTGATCCAAAGTCTTGTGAGTGAAAATTGATAGAACTATTTGGAAGTTGACAATGGCTGAACTGTCACAAGTCACACTGACTGAGGGTTTGAGTGTACTGATCTTGTTCAAACTGTTGACCATGCCAGATTATGCAGTCTCTCCCAGAAACTAAAATTTGCTCAGCATTGCTGCAGTATAAACGATAGGTGAGCTCTGTATTTGTTAAATACAAATGTACCTGGACAGGCATCTGCAACAGGGATGAGCTAGGAAATGAGTAGATAGCTATAATGGTATCTGGGTAAATGGTATCAACTTCATATATAAAATGCAAGAAATAATTTTTTAGCCATGAATTGGAGAAAAGAATAGAGAGGGATCTGAAAATAACATCAAGACAGCTTTTTATGATTTTTTAAAAAAAATGTACATGATAGTGTTGATCACATTGTTAAAGTCAAGATGGAATATACAGCAATTATAATAATTTGTGGCAATATGGCTCCAGAAAGACTACTCTGGCAATATGGCTCCAGAAAGATTACTCTGGCAATATGGCTCCAGAACGACTACTCTGGCAATATGGCTCCAGAACGACTACTCTGGCAATATGGCTCCAGAACGACTACTCTGGCAATATGGCTCCAGAACGACTACTCTGGCAATATGGCTCCAGAAAGAAAGATTAATCTCATAATACTTTATTGTGATAAAAATATATTACTATCAAAATATTAAGAAATATATTAAATTATTACTGAAAATTACTCTGCCAATATGGCACCAGAAGGACAACTCTGCCAATATGGTACCAGAAAGATTACTCTCATAATGCTTTATTGTGATAAAAATATTATATTACTATTGAAATTTTACTCAAGAAATACATTGTCACAAATATTGAATTACTACCAAAATATTACTAAATAGATATTGTTATTGAAATATCACTATAGAAAATCTAAACATCAATATTGGCTGATGACATTACAAACTGGCAAGTTATCTGAATTTGAATGTTTTTTTATCTTTAAAAAAATCATTTGATTATGACTTTATTGAGAGCTCTATTGACATAGGTAAATTTTGAATATTTTTTACTATTGATGGACTTGCATTTATAAGTTTTCTATTACTGATCAGATTTGTGCATTTTGAAGAACTTAAAAAAAGCAAACAGAAAAATAAAAAATTTTCTAAGTGCACAAAATTTAATTATTACCATAAAACAGACATATTCAATAAAATGAGAGGAAAACTGTAAAGAAATTGTGCTACTTTGCATAATTGTCATCATCGCAGAAAAATTAGCAGTTTTTAAAGCAGTCTACTTTTGTAATGGTCACCAAAGTGCCCAGTATATGGCGTTACAAGGCTTAGAGACTTTGCTAATTAGTTGTATGATAGCAGTTGGACAATCTCCTCAAAATGAAGAAGAGACTTGAAGTAACAGAAATGTGGTTCTACAGAAGGATGCTGAGGATACCATGGACCAAATATGTGAGCAATGATGATGCTTTAGAGAAAACGGAAACAAAAAGGGAATTTATATTTAACATCAGGAAGAGACAGTTGAGGTTTCTAGGGCACATAATGAGGAAAGAAGGCTTGGAAAGTCTGATATTCACAGAATAGACTAAAGGCAAGAGAGACAGAGGAAAACCATGCATAACATACTTAGTGAGCTTGAGTAAATGGATGGTGGAAAAGGGTCCAGGGGAAATAACAGAAGGACAAAATTTATTAAAAGCTACAAAGGACAGGAAGTTGTGGAGAGCCATAATCGCCTACATCCTGAGGGGACATGGTACATAAAGTAATAGGGTTAATATTATGAGAATAATTTTTAATGTTCTTTTGAACATAAAATTGACCTTTAATATATATATATATATATATATATATATATATATATATATAAATAAAAAGCTCAAACACTAATATTTCATGGTTATAATTTACTACATTGGAATTTAACCATGAGTCAATTCATCAGACCTATAAATTCAAAAAGAAATCGGGAGTTATATTTTCCAATTTCTCTTTGAATTTGTAGTTCTGATGAATTGGATCGTGATTGCGATTCCAATGTAATAAATTGTAACCATAGAATATTAGTGTTTGAGCCTTTTTTATTATATTCTTGCTCTGTCCTGGACATTGAGCTCTACCTGGATTCTATCCTCTTGAAATTTATGTATGTGTATATATATATATATATATATTAACTGCTAATAATATATATATATATATATATATATATATATATATATATTAACTGCTAAATATTATATATATATATATATATATATATATATATATATATATATATATATGAGCCAGTCTAAGATAAGGACAAATCTGAAGTCAAAACAGTATGTAACCATGGAGTATGACATACTAAGCAGCTAAGGAAATGATCAGGGGAGTTGACAATGATTATGATCTCAACTGCAGAATAGACTGGATTTATAGTATTAACAGATTAAATTTATTTTAAAACTTCATATACATCTATCTACTGCTAGACCCATTTAGCAATACTGTAAAAAGTATGGTGATCTTTAACTTTCGTTCCCACAAAAAAAGCTGTATCAAAAGGATGGTTTTTCTCTTGACACCGATCTTATTTTAACTACCTTCACTCTTCGCCAATGTTTATGGTTTTAAAAAGTGAGGATTAGAATTGTAATAAAACCTAAATATATCATGAATTAAAAATGAACTATATATAAATTAAAACTTTAATATTTTTCAGCAAACATGGATGTTCATGCCTGCAGAAAAGGCAATCTTTATTGTTTTAAAGAGTGATTATTAGAATTATTGTAAAACCCAAACATATGGAAGTGTATTTATACATTCTTTTGTTCTTGAGAATTGACAACAAAAATAATAAACTCTATTTGTTAAATTGTTTATTTACATCATTTATATTATTTATTTGAATTGTTGGTAAAACATTGACTAATTGCCAATCAATTCAAACTTTATAAAATGGTAAATAATAAGGATTTCCTTATAGCTGGTTCATATATTTTAATAATTTAGTAAATTTTTATAAATTTATGAATAATAAATTGTTTTTATATTTATTTCTTTTTAAGTTGGTAAATGATAAATATTGTGTTGCATTAGTATAAAAGTATGAATTAAAATCATCTTCCCCCCAGTTATGGATTAAATAGTAGGATAGATTGTTCTCTTCAGCCATGATTGGAAGTCGGTCTAGGAGAAGGATAACTCTGAATTCAAAACTATATGTAGCCCTGGTGAATCATGTAGTATGCAGCTAAGGAAAGGATCAAAGAGTTCACAAAGACTATGAACTTTATGGTGGTCAGCTTTCTTTTTTTTTTTCTATTTTTGTCTTTTTTGAATGACTGTTTATAGTGACTATACTTTCTTTCTTTTCATTTTTTTCTTAGTATAATGAATATGTCTGTTTTTATGATAATAAGAAACATATGACTAGCAGAAATAAAATAAAAACTAGATTCAACTGATAATCTTTTTTTTTTTTAAGTGCTACTAAAACTAATATACACCACAACACAATTGACAATGCAAACACTTGTGCTATACAACTACTACATGTGTATCAGTTACCAGACAGGAGCCATTGCTTCTTCATCCATTCATATGGTGCTGTATCCCGCAGGGAAGTTGCCACACCTTCAATAGTAGCAAATTCTGTACCCAGGCCCAGTGCCAAAAGCATTAGGAAAAAGATGATTGACCAGAATGGTGCCGATTCACCAAACATGACAATTGCCTGGGTGAACACAATGAAGGCTAGGCCGGTACCTTCTGCTGCCTGAAACAAAGAATTGATGAAATTTGAAATTTACCAGCTAACAGCCATCTCTTCTTCATCCAGTCGTAGGGAGCTGCATCTCTGAGAGAAGTGGCAACACCTTCCAAAGTTGCAAACTCAGTGCCAAGTCCCAGTGCAAGAAGCATGAGGAAAAAAATAAAGGACCAAAATGGAGAACTTGCCCCAAACTCAACGATGGCTTGGGCAAAAACAATGAATGCTAAGCCAGTGCCAGAGGCGGCCTACAATGCAAATAAAGTTTGTAAGTAAAGAAAAAATTAAAAAAAAAAAAACTTAAAAAAAACAATGCACAAAAGCAACAACAAAAAACAAAAAAAAAAAAAAAAAAAAACAAAACAAAAACACCAATAATTATTTATTATTAATTTTGATTTATATTGACTTTTATTTAAATATTTTTTTTTAATTGCAAATTTACCCAGGCTGTTGATCTACAACAATGAGATCTTGGCAAAATTGTATCAATAGAATAGAATTTACTAAGCTTATCTTATTTGGCAAAAGGACACCAATATTAGTCAAGTTAGGTTCAGTTGGTTAATATAACAACATATTAACTATTGTTGGTTTATTTAATGTCAAATATTAGTTTCATGTCAAATATAAATGTCAATAATTTAATATCAAATATATTAAATAATATCAAATAACGTATAAAATATCAAATGATGCCAAATAATATCAAATAATGTATAAAACATCAAATAATGAATAAAAATATAAAATAATGACAAATATAATTTTTAGATGTCAAATAATATCAATGTCAAATATAAGTTTTAGATGTCAAATAATATCAATGTCAAATATAAGTTTTAGATGTCAAATATGTCAAATAATATCAAATATAAGTTTTAGATGATAAAAATCATAATAACTTAATAGATAGGCTTCTGTCAAAAGGTAGACATTGGTTGTATCTATACTGAGTGAGGATTGAACTCATGACTCAGGTGTAATGATCAACAGACAAGGTCACTAAGCAAGGTGCTACTGGTATTTACTAAGGTAGTTATTGGTTGGATCTATACCTAGTGAGGATTAAACTCCCTATTCTGTAGTTATGGTCAACCAGTCTAGCTCAGTAACCAAGGTGCCATTGATATTTACTAATATTTAACTTATTACTCCGTGAGAATAAAATTTACTACTCACTAGTAATAGTCAATTAGTCTAACTTACTAGCTATTGTTTCATACCATGAATTCCCTGTTATATACTAAGCTTAGATTAGTTTGGTCCAAGGTCACAAGTATGGAGCCCTAAATAAGGAGGATTGAAATTGCTACTTGGTAGCAATGGCCAACAAAACTATTTTAAAAACCATTACCCTTTAGGGAAGCCTGGTTGAATGTATCAGTTGCTTTAAAAAACAAATAAAAGGGATGAAAGTAAATATAAACCAAAATTATTATTATTATTATTATTAATAATAATACTTGACAAGGATTTCTCTAATAAACAAAATAAAAATAAGACTCCAGCACAGATAATGATTTTAATATCTCATACTTCAAAAATAAGTATTTTAAAACATAACTATTTACTATTATACATTGATTTTTTCTTTGACTAAAGTAAAAAAAGAACTGTAGGTTAAAATAAGCTCTTAATTATTGGATGGCAAGAAGTCTAAGAGAAGTAGCAATCTGAATTCAGAACCGTGAAGCCAGTGGGAAACTAATCCACTATCTTTCCCAAGAGGGCATAGAAATTCACAGATAATAAAGAAAGGGAATTTGTGGAGAGCCATGATCATCTACATCCTGACTGGACATGGCAAAACACAGATAATAAAGAAAAGGAATCTGTGGAGAGCCATCATCATCTACATCCTGACTGGACATGGCAAAACACAGATAATAAAGAAAAGGAATCTGTGGAGAGCCATGATTGTCTACATTATGATTGGACATGACAATTCACAGATAATAAGGGATGTAGTTAAACGATGCCTCAGCTTAAAATGTATAGTAATTCAAGGGTTTAGTATGGCCCCATCGCAGACATGGCTTCAGGGTGCGGCACATAGTTTTATGTGGATAAAATTTGCCTTGTTTTTGAAACCTTTGTCCCTTAACTCTTTACCAGAAGGGAAAAGGGTATGATCTAATATTTACTTACTTCTGGAAGGTGACAAGCTGTGACAAAATTGTTTTAATGATGTGTGCTGTATATATAGACCAAGGAAAAAAACTGCTCACTCCTTGCAACTATTGTCTAACAGGGTTTAGTGCAATGAGGGAGGTGTTGTGACAACTTTGAATCCTCAGAATACATCTTCCCACATAGTTTAGAGAGGAGAACAGATTCTACACTTTAATCCCAGTTTAAAGTGGTGGCATCATTGTGTATTTAATTGTCTCCTAATGGTGGTGGAATGTGACAAGAGGCTTAATTTGTGGTGACCGTACATGTACATAAGGGCCAAGGACAAAAACTGCCCAGTTCCTGTGACTATTGTTATGCTGGGATCAGTATCCATCAACTTGCCCTCTTTAGTGCTTAAGTAGATTGCTACCACAGGATTAGAATCTTTAGAATTGTGCATCCCTCATTTTTAAACAATGAACTACCCAAAGAAGAAACATGGCAGAGAGGAGAAAATATATTATACTTTGATCCCAGCTCAAAAGTTGAGAAAAGTCATTTTGATACTATGTAGATGTGATCCTATGTAGAAGTGCTGTGCAATGAGACATTGATCTTTAACAGAGTGTGCAGACAGTACAGAGAGGAAGAGAAAAGATACTACATTCTGATCCCAGCTCAAAGGTTGGGAAAAGTCATTTTGATACTATGTAGATATGATCCTATGTAGAAGTGCTGTGTAATGACACTTTGATCTTTAACAGAGTGTACAGAGAGGAAGAGAAAAGATACTACATTCTGATCCCAGCTCAAAGTTTGGGAAAAGTCATTTTGATACTATATAGATGTGATCCTATGTTGAAGTGTAAGGTTTGATCTTACAAAATGTACAAACAATAAATGCAAATCCCAGACAATAGTTTTCCAAACATTTTGCATTGACACACACTTTTTAAATATAATTTTTTGTGACACATTACTTTAATTAGTCAAACCAAATAGATAATTCATAATGTATATAGAAATAATTTAATGATAACTTCAGATAATAATTAATGAAAGAACAGATAATTATCTATACTAAAGTGTCATAACACAAGTTTGGAAAAATTTGTTCTTGGAGACGTGCTGATCTAATTAAAAAAATAAAAACATTTTTTATGGGTACTATGCTAGAAATATAATAATATTAAAGCACTGTTTATAAATATAAATAACACATTATAATAATGCTTCCTCTTAGATTATGAGGTATTGAAAAATATAATATATGGTTGATATTAAAGTCATGAGATATTAATCATTATTTTTGATGGAAAATTCTTAGAAATGTGATATTGAAAAAAGTATTTAACAAAGCCCATAAAATAAGTTTATACAAAATGTTGCATAATATCAAATAAAATGAAATAAAAATTAATATTAAATAATATCAATTAAAAGTATGATGACAAATAATGATATTATATTAAACAGAGGTATTAAATTATATTAAATAATAAAATTATATTAAATAATAAAATTATATTAAATAATATTAACAAATATTAAGCATAAATAATAACAGAATAGAAGAGAGTGATTTAAAAAAAAAAGAAAAGACTGACAAGAATATTTTGAGATTGTCTTTTCTTTTCTTAAATTACTCTTCCCTAAGTGTTGAAAAATATTGTAAGAGTTACATCAATCATTTTATTTGGTAAATAATAACATAATAATAATATACTATTACATTAAATAGCCATATTAAATAATATAATCAATTTATATAAATGTCTATTAAATGATACTGAATAATAGAACAAAACTTAAACTGACATTCATTTTTAAGACACTTTTAAACAATAATTACAATTTGGTAGCATTTCAAATAGTCATTTAATACATAATATACTCAAGCCATCTCCCAAGTTCATATATTTGGAAGAACTTTTATTTACTTATACATGACCCCACACAACACATACACCCTTGTGCAAATTAAATGAAACAAAACAAATAATTCTGTTATTATTTACTTTTTTTTCCATATTTTTTCCAATGAAACATGACCCAGTGCACATGTTAGTACTTTGTATGTTCATTCCTTGCAGATTGACCAGAGATTCTTGATTGGAGAATTTCAGGAGAGTTTCTGGGCCAGTCTATAGTACTTTGATTTGTAAGGCTTGCCAGTGTGTTTGTGCAGTGTTACAATTTTTGTATGCATCCTTGGAGTAATGTCCATCATAGACAATGGCTGTAGGACAACTAATCGACAGTCAAGACAATAAATGATAAAAATCTGATGCAATCATGGATGATGCAATATTTTTCAATGGCAAACAAATTTCATCATACACCCTGGAAAGATTCATATTACTGCACACCACTGCAAATAACCTAATCTGAGAAAAAATAGAAATTGATTACACCCTGTCACTCCAGTGGATCTAAAACTGACTGTATGATGAAAGAAAGGAAACTAAAGCGGTTGTTTCAATTAATTTGCACAAGGGTGTACCTTCATCAGATTGCATTGATTCAAAACATACTGCAACATGAAAACAATTTGTGCACAGTGTTTCAAAATTTCAAGCATAAGATTTATGTGGTCTTTAAATGCCCCTGTTGGCCAGCAACATTTTTGTTTACATCTTCCAATACATTCATGCTGTAATTTGTCAATCCTTATTTCTAAATGTCCTGGTACTACAAACTTTCTAATGATCAATTCAAAAGATAATCCAAAGATGCTAGGTGTGCTTAGTAATAAGGATGAAGTCAAAATTCAAAGTGAAAAGAGTTCATTTTCTTGTGGGTTTGTATTATGGAGAGAGAGAGAGAGGCCTTACAGTCTCATGCCAGAGAATGTCACCTAACTGTGTCAACAAACTTGTGTCATTGCACCATTGAAATGGTTGAGATGTTCACAACAGAAATTTGAAGTGATGATTTCTCCATAGATCAATTGATAATATTTTTCCTCATCATAGAAAATGAATAACAAAGCATTCTATGTTTTGTGATGTCAGATGTTTGTCACTATTGTGATGCCAACGAATGCTCATTATCATGTTCGTAATGCATGTTGTAGTCAAGACTTTGGAATTGCAGATACTAGTAGTAACTCTTTCAAATAATACTTTCA